CTGAGCTTCTTTAACTCAAGGCTAGCACTCTACCACTTAAGCCACAGCACCACTTCCAGTTTTTTGTTTATGTGGACTGAGGAATTCAACCCAGGGCTTCATGTATGCTAGGCAAGCACTCTACCACTAAGCCACATTCCTAGCCCTAAATATTCTATTTTCCAACTAGAAAAAGACATGACTGTCCTTATGTCTCTGCTCAAACATCCCATTGTTAAAATTTGCACTTTGAAGGTCTGACCTTTCAGGCATCAGAAGACTTATACACACACACACACACACACACACACACACACACACACACACACACGTATATAAATATATACTCTTGGTATCATTAGAAGCTCAGACGAGGCCCACAAAAAAAGGTTTTCCATGTGTGTGCATCTCAGCTGGTTGTGTCCATTCTTCAGTTCACTTTGTTATGCCATTACCATCACCCTTCCATCATTCTCAATCAGTTCTCACATTCACTGAATGCTATTACACTTTTTATAACAGTTGGAATGCCATTTACCACTTATTTGTATTAGTGTCAGGGCAAGAAGCCATGCTCAATATTTAAATCACTTGCATGTGTATGTATGAGAGTGCTTCTATTTTTCAATGTATTGGTACAAGCAAAGGCAATATAAACTCACAAACATAAATTCGAAAATAATGCTGTGTTCAAAGTGGAGCTTTTCTCATTGACTGTGTGGAGTAGGCCAATGAGGTGTTTAAAGCACATCACTGCTGCTGTGCAAGTAGAGCACTTTTTTTTTTCTTAAGATGTTTTCTTCCAGGTATTCTATTGTGGGTACTGGGTATGTTATTTATGATTTTTTTTTCTTTAGAATGTAGCAGTGATACTATTATTGAAACAAATGATTTTTCTTCTCTGAAATATAACCATTGATGCTTGAATGATAGAATTTTAGTACTGTAACAGGTGTTAGTCATTAATGTGAGAGATTTAGGAAAAGTGCATAGCATGGACTATAGTTTGCCTAAAATGAGTAACTAATGTTCTTAGTCTTTCTTAATACATTAGTTCAGAAATCATATTCACATTTGGATTCGACAGATGTATGGAATGACCAGCAGCTTAGATGTTTGCACTAAGGTTTTATTTGGAATGCACGAGAGGTTGAAAGAGGTTTCAGTAGCACACATGTAACTAATTTATTTGAACTCTATGTTAAAGACATCTTCTAGCTGATCTTCAAATGCTTTTTAAAAAACTCATCACAGGGGCTGGGAATGTGGCCTAGTGATAGAGTGGTTGCCTAGCATGCACGAAGTGCTGGGTTTGATTCCTCAGCACCACATAAAGAAAAAAAGCCAGAAGTGGTGCTGTGGCTCATGTGGTAGAGTGCTAGCCTTGAACTTTAAAGCAGCTAAGGGACAGTGCCCAGACCCTGAGTTCAAGCCCCAGGACTGGCAGCAAACAAACAACAACAACAAAAAAAACCATCACAGATGATTGGGGGAATGCTAGATGGTTTTATTTTTATTTTTATTTTTGTCGGTTGTGGGGCCTGAACTCTGGGCCTGGGCACTGTCCCTCAGCTCTTCAGCTCAAGGCGAGCGCTCTACCACTTGAGCTACAGCGCCACTTCCGGTTTTCTGGTGGTTTATTCGAGATAGGAGTCTCACGGTCTCTCCTGCCCGGGCTGGCTTTGAACCGCGATCCTCAGATCTCAACCTCCTGAGTAGCTAGGATTACAGGCGTGAGCCACCAGTGCCCGGCTGCTAGATGATTTTATATAATGAAAAATACTAATTTGTTTGACCTTCCAAACATAACTGCTATTATGTTTGGCTTTATTGCACATAGACAGTCCATCAAATCATGTGTTCTGGAGAGTATTCTTTACTCAATAGTTTTGTATAGTTTTAATTTAGTACAAATAAAAAAAAATTAAAAATATAGCAGGCCTAAGGATCAATGTAATAGACTAGAAGACCTGGACAGAAAGCTATATATCTAGGGCTGGGAAGGTGGCTCAGTGGTAGAGCGCTTGCCTTGCATGCATGAGGCCCTGGGTTCGATTCCTCAGCACCACATAAGCAAAAAGAAAAAAAAAACGGGAAATAGCGCTGTGGCTCAAGTGGTAGAGCGCTACCCTTGAGCTGAAAAGCTGAGGGACAGCACCCAGGCCCAGAGTTCAGGCCCCACGACCAGACCGCCCCCCCCCCCCAAAAAAAAGCTATATATCTACAGTTATTTGATACTTGACAAGGGAGCCAAAAATATGCAGTGGAAAAAGCCTCTTCAAAATCTGGTGTTGGAAAACCTAAAATTGGATCAAAGTGGATCAAAGACCTCAACGTCAGACCCAGAACTTGGAAATTACTGCATGAGGGAGAAAGAGAAACACCAGAACTCATAGGCATAGGCAGAAATTTTCTGAAGAGTCCCAGAGGCAAAACAGATGAGAGAGACTTGACAAATGGGATTACATCAGAATAAAAAGTTTCTGCACAGCAATGGACATTTTTACTAAACTAGAAAGACAGCTAACAGGCTGGGAGAAAATCTTCATCAGCAATACACCTGACAAAGGCCTAACAAGGAACTCAAGAAACTAACACTACCCCACCCCCAAAAAACTAATAAACTAATCCAATTCATGGACAAAGGAGATTAAGAGAGACTTCTCAGAAGAAGTAAGAATAGCAAATAGACACATGAAGAAATGCTCAACATCCCCGGCCAAAAAGGAAATGCAAATCAAAACAACTTTGAGCTGGGTGCCGGTGACTCACGCCTATAATCCTAGCTATTCAATCCTAGCTACTCAGGAGGCTGAGATCTGAGGATCACGGTTCAAAGTCAGCCTGGGCAGGAACATCCATGAGACTCTTATCTCCAATAAACCACCAGGGGGGGCTGGGAAGGTGGCTCAGTGGTAGAGGCCCTGGGTTTGATTCCTCAGCAACACATAAGCAAAAAGAAAAAAGCCGGAAGTGGCGCTGTGGCTCAAGTGGTAGAGCACTAGCCTTGAGTTGAAGAGCTGAGGGACAGCGCCCAGGCCCAGAGTTCAGGCCCCACGACCGGACCCAAAAAACCCCAAAAAACAAAAAACACCACCAGAAAACCACAAGTGGCCCTGTGGCTCAAGTGGTAGAGTGCTCGCCTTGAGCTGAAGAGCTGAGGGACAGTGCCCAGGCTGAGTTTAAGACCCATGGCCGACAAAAACAAAAAAACAAAACAACTTTGTGACCGCATCTCATCCCAGTTAGATTGCCCTCCATCAAGAGCTTGAACAACAACAAATGCTGGTGGGGGAAAAGGAACCCTATGGCACTGCTGGTGGGAATTCAAATTAGTACAACCACTCTGAGTGGCAGTTTGGAGGTTCCTCAAAAACTAAACATAGATCTTCCCTATGACCCAGCTACACCACTGCTGGGTATCTACCCTGATCACTACAGGTCTAGATACAGTAAAGACATTTGCACATCCATGTTCACTGCTGCACTATTCACAATAGCCAAGTTATGGAAACAGCCCAGATGCCCTACCACAGATGAGTGGATTAACAAATTGTGGTATATATACAGAATGGAATTTTACTCAACCATTAGAAATGGGCAGACCTAGAACAAATCACGTTAACTAAGGTAAGCTAAGTTCAGAGAGCTAAATGGTGCATGTTTTCTCTCACATAAAGAAACTAGTAAACTGTAACTGGACATTATAACCTACACAGGACTCTGGGCATCCACACACAGTCGGACTAGAGGAGGACGCCCAGAGAAGAACACCAAGATGTACTTTCTCCAAACACTCAACACACTATTGAAATGAACTCCAGGAAATGGAAACGTTTTTTTCTGCTGACATTATTGTTGCTGTTGGTGGTGGTGTTTGTTTTTCCTTTCGTTTTTTTTTTCTCACAGGGTAGGGGAGCGGGGCAAACAAAGTGGGGGCAGAAAAGGAAAAAGAGTGAATAAATGCCATCATGCTACTATGTAGAAAATGGAACTTACATGTAGGCAGGAACATAAGGGGGAAACTGGGAAAAAGCACAGGAAGGGGTGATGCTGTCCAAAAAAAAAGAAATGTACTCATTATCTGACCTATGAAATGGTAACCCCCTCAGTGTAACACATGAATAGTAAAAATATAACTAATTTTTATTTAATTTTTTAAATTGTTATTAGAAAGGTGACGTACAAAGTTAACAGTTATGTAGGTCAGGTAGAGAGTACATTTCTTTTTGGCCAATGTCCCCTTTCCCCTAGCTCTCTTCTAATAACAACAAAATTTTTTTTTTCCAATTTCAACAAGCACATCTGAATTTTGGTTCTATCACCAAAAATGCATCCTGCAGCACTGACCCTCCACTGGCTCTGCCTCTGCCCCAGAGCTCACCCGATCCGAGCCCTCTACATGTTCTTCACACTGCCATATTCCCCAAAGTGATCAGCACCCTGTGGGACAAGCCAGGATCAGATACAGGCATGCGCTCTTCCCTCTGGTCCACAGAAGCTACCATTGTCATGGTGGGGGCTGACATCAGAGCCCTCCTCTTAGCCCATTAGGGATGAGTGCTGGCACACTAGCAGCACAGGCTACCAGGCCAGAGATGCCAGGCCTGGAAATGGCCACCAGCCAGAAGTGGGCATGAAAGCTAACTGGTTGAACAGAAGTGTTAATGCCACTACTTTGCCCACCTCAAGAAGACATGTGGAAGCAGCACACACATGGCAGTCACTGCCTTCTTCCTCTGCAGACACCGAATGCAGTCAGGAGGCAGTGAGTCTGTGGGGTTTTAAAAAACATGAGGGTATTTGTGGAAAGCCTGCTCCTTGTTTAAAAAAACAAACCAAGTGCTATGAGCAGTGAAGCGCCATACTGCCCGCTCGTGATTTCTGATCTTTCTCACTACAAGGAGAGACAAGTGACTCTTGCGCCGACAGCACCGTCCTCACCGGCCCCCCACCCCCCACTGTGTGGAATCAGACAAACATGCTTCAACAGAGAGAAAAATAAACCATTATTTGGACACATTGAGTACCCTGGTTTTTAACTGCTCTTTTATTTAGGATGGAGCAGGGCCTCATACACAACCCAACAACTGATCGTACCGAAACAGCCCCTACTTGGTTATGGAGCTCCATCCCAAGATAATTCATAACTTTTTCATCAAAAAAAGGGTCAGCAAGAAATTCTTGAGAAGATCCAAGGGAAGCTTGCGAAAGCTCTAAGATGAGAATGTTCTTTGACATCCCTGGGCCTTTTCACTCAGTCCCCGTCACAGCAGCTCCGTATCTTCCTCCTCCTCATCAGATGTGCCGCTCTCAGACTCCTCCTGCTCCTCCCGGGTCAAGAGCTTTTTAAAAACCTCAAACTCCTCAGCAGTAGAACAGGCTGTCCTGGCCAAAAACTCAGCTTCTGAAACTCTGAAGATGTCCTTGAGAAAAGGGTTAGCAATCTGTGTTTGCCCCTTTTTATCAGGGGTTTGGTACCGTCCCAGACGTTCCAAGAAAATGTGTCTCTGCTTGATTTTGCTTATTGAGTACTGCAAGAATTCAGTCTTTACTATGTCCAGATGCTTAATTCCCATCCTAAAATAAGCATACTGGAAGACACAAACACATTTAAAAATCCTACTACAGAATCTTCAAATCTACATAACAATCCATAAAAAGAAAAAACAAAACCTGAGTTATACAAAAGCATTTGAAGAGAGATACTTCACTAATAAGGGCATAATACCCATTCTATGTTATCAACATTTAGATGACAGCAGTAGTTTTCAAAGCATTTTCAAATTCATACTGAGAAAAATACATGCAGCACAATTTAAATAAAGGAGCAAGAAGAAGAAGTTATGTTTTTCTTGAGATGGGAAAGAAAACCAAGAATCTGAGGAAAACAGATGAAAGTATGAAGATAATATCTAGGAATTTAACTCAAGGCGTTGTAATTGTTACTAAAATGTTAGGATAATATTACATTTTCAATGCCAACAGGTAAAAAATACATTCTAAGGACAGCATGTTTTTTATGTGTTAGCTATTTTTAAATAAGTTTTAGCTATGTTAAAATTAGCTACTTCAGAGCCCCTACTTGTACACTAAAGAATGGGACCAATGGAAGGAAAGCTATGGAGCAGCTTTGATCTGTCAGAACCAGGCTATGCTTCTGGGATAGTGTGTGTGGAGAAACACAGCTGTGCATTCATGACTCACAGGCACCTTACCACTTGGTGGACCTTACTCTACTTGAAAACTGTAAAAACCTGCCTAACCACCATTATCAGTCATTCTCACCTGGAATTTGTATTCCAGTTCATTGGGGCACTCCCGAAGAACATTGGGGCACCTGTACAAAATCTCAGTGACTTGCTGCACTGGGAACAGGCACTTCTCCTTGAGGACCTGGACGACACCATCAATAACCCGACGGTGCATGGTGAAGATCTCAGGGCAGCCATAAAGCACTTTTTGTAGTTTTCCTGCAGAACATTATGAAAAGGCAAAGACATAACTTCAAGATATCCCAGAAACCCAAGGGCTACTGTGCATCTGCGCATGACCGAAGCCAGCATTAAAACAATGAACAAGGACCCTTTCACTCACAGAATCAGCTCAATTCCAGATGCTTCTTCCACAAACACCTCTCTCCAACCAGCCCACCCTACTTCCTGCCTTTTTTGGTCCTTCTATCTGAGGTGCAACTTCATATTCTAGGACTTCTCCTGTCCTTACTAGAAAATAATCTCACAGAAATCAGTCAGTAGATAGGAGCTTCCAACAGCAAGGCTTTGGGGTGCTATTCCCTTCTGTAAGAAGACATTCATGACCAACACTGACAAGACCGAGGAGCCTGACCTCATGAAAAGGCATCCCGCTGGGCGTCGGTGGCTCACACCTGTCTGTCATCCTGGCTACTCAGGAGGCTGATATCTGTGGATCACGGTTCAAAGCCAGCCCAAAGCCAGCCCGGGCAGGAAACTCCGTGAGACTCTTATCTTCAATAAACCACTAGAAAACCAGAAGTGGTGCTATGGCTCAAGTGGTAGAGCACCTGCCTTGAGCTGTAAAGCTGAGGGACAGTGCCCAGGCCCAGAGTTCAAGCCCCATGACCGACAAAAAAAAAAAAAAAAGAAGGAAAAGACGGACTGGGAAGGTGGCTCAGCGGTAGAGCTCTTGCCTTGCATGCCTGAGGCCCTGGGTTCAATTCCTCAGCACCACATAAGCAAAAAGAAAAAAGCCGGAAGTGGCGCTGTGGCTCAAGTGGTAGAATGCTAGCCTTGAGCTGAAGAGCTGAGGGACAGTGCCCAGGCCCAGAGTTCAGGCCCCACGATCGGATCCCCCCCCCCCCCCCCCCAGTGTGTGAGAAGTGAATTTAGGAACTTGGCCTCTATCTTCATCTCTTAACCTGCTGCTAAATTTGGGTCATTAATAGCCATAACATGTTCAGTATTACGTTTGAGCTTTTAGATTACACTATGAGATAATCAGTTATGGGAAATACACATAGCAATCTAGAATTGTACGATATAGTGGTCTTCAAACCTCCCCTCCCTCACCTGCCAAAAGCAATTCTTATCAGGAAGAGTCAATAATGAAAATTACTAGTAGTGGGGTTCCTCTGGCTGAATGAAGAGGCTCATGAGACCTTCATGGTCCCCATTCCCCTTCTCCAGAAAGAGACATAACTTTAGGTGTCCTGGAAGTGTGAAAAATGTTGAAGGGGAACAACTAGAGGGAGGCCACTCTAACAGCTCTCTTGGCTAGGTTTCTCGGGTTCTATAGTAAATAAAAACACTGGGCTGGCACTGAATTTGGCATGGTGCCCTTTATATCACACAAGGCACCAAGACCATGTCAAGTTGGTTTTCAGATCAGGTGTTCTCCTATGCTACCATCACACGCCATCACTACCAAATGAACACAGACAGTGTGCCCCTACCATTCCAGGAGCTAGACACTTAGTGTCCAGGTTCTGGCCTTCTTTTCCAGTCCCAAGTTCCCCACATCCCTCCTCCTGCAGAGGACCTATCACACATCCTCTTCTAAGTCACTGACTTCTCAGAAAACTTCCTGAGCCTACCAGTCCTTAGGCTATTCTTTCCCCGAGTCAGATTCCTCTAAACATTACATAAAATGTGCATCCCACTGTACCTTCTCCCAAGCCAAGCTTTCGCAGATAACTAGAGCGTTTCTTCATTTGCGCTTTAGGCAGTTTCAGTAACTGAGGACATCTCTTCAAGGCTACACATACAGGCTCTGGATTCACACCCAGGAGAATAAATTCTGAAATGATGTCCAGCAGCTGTCTGTGGTTGGCATCTGGCTGTATACTGAGCAATTCATTAATGTGGGTGTCAGTGAAACCCATGTCATGCAGAGAGCTAATGACTACCTCAAGTCCCAAGGACCCTTGCTCCAGGTCCACCTTCTCAGGAAGCTTCTGAACCAGATGTGTCCTGCATGTTGGCTCTTGCACACAGTTTTTGGGTCCAACAAAAGATAATCCCTTAAGCTTCCCTCCCTGGGAGGCTGTAGTCAGTTTACATGACAAAGCAACAGTCTTCCTTTTCTGCTCTCCAAGAACAGGAGTCCACTTAGCCAAACCAAACAAGGTAAGTGGGAATACGTGGTGCCAGTCAAGGACCTAGAAGACACAGGACCAAAAGAAAATCAACTCCATCCTAGAATAATGAATGTCACAAGATCTCTGAACCAGGATATTTGGCGCTTTTGTTCCACACAAACATGAGCTTTATATAGGCACTCTGAGAAAATGCAAAAGCCGACCTTGAAGGAAATTCATATACAGAAAACAAAATCTACAAAAGGCCCCCATAAAAAACAAGTTTTGTTGCAAATCAAGACATCAAAGTCAGAAGGGTACTGCTAGCTTTAAGTGGAGGCAGGATAGACTAGGGAAAATGAGGCATGTTGAATGGAAGTATATTTAGAAACACAGAAGCACTATCTTGTTTTAGCCCTTACATTCCTTTATAAGCTGCAGCATTAACACAAGGGAAAGAGCAAGAGAGGCTTTCTCCATCTGACCTTGCCTGCTAGCCCCACCAAACAATTAACTGTGCTCTAAAAACTGAAAAAGGACACAATTAAAAACAAACAAACATTCTGGGCACCGGTGGCTCACACCTGTAATCCTAGCTATTCAGGAGGCTGAGGTTTGAGGATCGCAGTTCAAAGCCAGCCCAGACACAAAAGTCCATGAGACTCTTATCTCCAATAAACCACCAGAAAACTGGAAGTGGTGCTGTGGCTCAAGTGGTAGAGCGCTCGCCTTGAGCTGAAGAGCTCAGGGGTAGTTCCAAGTCTCACAACTAACAAAATAAATAAAGGGCAGAAAAGGAGAGACACAGGGTAAACAAATGCAGCAAAGGTACTCACTGGACATTATGTTGAAAATGAACTATAAGGAGGCTGCAATATAAGAAATGTACTCATTATCTTGCTCATGTAATTGTAACCCCTCTTGTACAGTATTTTCACAACAACAACAAAAAAGAAAATGAACTATACAACTTGTGGATGAGGGAAAAATTGGGAGAGCACAAGGGAGGAGGTGACATTGTCCAAAAAGAAATGTACTCTTTCACCTGACTTATGTACAGCACCTTTACAATAAAAAAATTTTAATTCAAAATAAAATATATGGCAGAATAGTCCTCCCTAAAACGGATGCCCAAACATAATGGTCATCTATTTCAAGTATAGGGCAGTCTCAGAGATTCCGGGCCCAAGTGTTAAAAGTGTAACACCAAGAGTCATTAAGAGCAAAGACGAGACCACCAGACCTTGCCTTTATCAAGTAAGTACCCGAGGTCAAAGGCCTCTGCCAGTCTGCTTGTTTAACCACAGCGCATAGTCCGGAAGGGACCCGTCAGAGTCCCTACTTCACCAACCCTCGCCTGCATGGGGTGATGGGGGACCAAGCTGCAACCGCAGGCCGGGGGGCGGGAGGGGGAGCTGGCAACGTCCGGCGGACCCCGCGGGACCGGGGTCGCCCGGGTGCACGGTCCACGTTCCTGCTATGGGCAGAACGTTCTGGGGGGGACAGTGAGTCTGTGGCGCAGCCCGAGCGCAGCTGGGCTCGGTCCCGTCCCCCTCCCCGGTGGGGTCCCGGAGGCAGCGACGCGCGCGAGGCCCAGGGTCCGCGTCGCCCGAGGCCGGCGCGGGGAAGACCGCGTGCCAGCCCGCCGCCCGCCGGGCCCGCCCCCTCCGCCTCAGCCGCCGCCCGCCCGCCGGGCCCGCCCCCTCCGCCTCAGCCGCCGCCCGCCGGGCCCGCCCCCTCCGCCTCAGCCGCCGCCCGCCGGGCCCGCCCCCTCCGCCTCAGCCGCCGCCCGCCGGGCCCGCCCCCTCCGCCTCAGCCGCCCGCCCGCCCCCTCCGCCTCAGCCGCCCGCCGGGCCCGCCCCCTCCGCCTCAGCCGCCGCCCGCCCCCTCCGCCTCAGCCGCCGCCCGCCCCCTCCGCCTCAGCCGCCGCCCGCCCCCTCCGCCTCAGCCGCCCGCCGGGCCCGCCCCCTCCGCCTCAGCCGCCGCCCGCCCCCTCCGCCTCAGCCGCCCGCCGGGCCCGCCCCCTCCGCCTCAGCCGCCGCCCGCCCCCTCCGCCTCAGCCGCCCGCCGGGCCCGCCCCCTCCGCCTCAGCCGCCGCCCGCCCCCTCCGCCTCAGCCGCCGCCCGCCCCCTCCGCCTCAGCCGCCGCCCGCCCCCTCCGCCTCAGCCGCCGCCCGCCCCCTCCCTCCGCCTCAGCCGCCCGCCGGGCCCGCTCCCTCCGCCTCAGCCGCCGCCCGCCGGGCCCGCTCCCTCCGCCTCAGCCGCCGCCCGCCCGCCGGGCCCGCTCCCTCCGCCTCAGCCGCCCGCCGGGCCCGCCCCCTCCGCCTCAGCCGCCGCCCGCCGGGCCCGCCCCCTCCGCCTCAGCCGCCGCCCGCCGGGCCCGCCCCCTCCGCCTCAGCCGCCCGCCGGGCCCGCCCCCTCCGCCTCAGCCGCCCGCCGGGCCCGCCCCCTCCGCCTCAGCCGCCGCCCGCCCCCTCCGCCTCAGCCGCCCGCCGGGCCCGCCCCCTCCGCCTCAGCCGCCGCCCGCCCCCTCCGCCTCAGCCGCCCGCCGGGCCCGCCCCCTCCGCCTCAGCCGCCCGCCGGGCCCGCTCCCTCCGCCTCAGCCGCCCGCCCCGGGTCTCACCGCCCGCTCCCTCCGCCCCCTCCGCCTCAGCCGCCCGCCGGGCCCGCCCCCTCCGCCTCAGCCGCCCGCCCCGGGTCTCACCGCCCGCTCCCTCCGCCTCAGCCGCCCGCCCCGGGTCTCACCGCCCGCTCCCTCCGCCTCAGCCGCCCGCCCCGGGTCTCACCGCCCGCTCCCTCCGCCTCAGCCGCCCGCCCCGGGTCTCACTGCCCGCTCCCGCCGCCTCAGCCGCCCGCCCCGGGTCTCACCGCCCGCTCCCGCCGCCTCAGCCGCCCGCCCCGGGTCTCACCGCCCGCTCCCGCCGCCTCAGCCGCCCATCCCGGGTCTCACCCGCCTGCCCAGTGCCAACATCGCGCGCGAGCGGATTCTCCCACGGCGGCGCCGGAAGCAGCGCTGCTCTTGGCCCGTCACTTCCGGCGCCCGCGCAGACCCGGGCACGCGTTCCGCCGCCTCAGCCCTCGGCTCACGGCTCCGCGGCTCGCTTTCTCGCGTCCTCGGCGCTTGCCTCCCACGACGCTCGCGTGGGGCGCGGAGGCGGGCGGGAGGGGGTCCGCGGCCTGGGTGTCCACCCTCCCCGCCGTTCTTCGCACGCGGCCCGAGGACAGGGCCGACCGGGGCCGAGGCGTGCCCCGCCGGGGCCTGGCGCCCGCGTCCTCCCTGGGGGGCGGGAAGGGCGGGACTTGCCCGCTGTTAGCCCGCGCCGGGCGCCGACCCTGCTCACGAGGGAGCGGTGAGCGGCCGCGCCGGCCACTGCCGGGGAGGGGGGCGGTGTGGACGGGAGCCTGGCGCTGCGGGGAGGGCCCGGTGTGGACGGGAGCCTGGCGCTGCGGGGAGGGGGGCGGTGTGGACGGGAGCCTGGCGCTGCGGGGAGGGGAGCGGTGTGGACGGGAGCCTGGCGCTGCGGGGAGGGGGGCGGTGTGGACGGGAGCCTGGCGCTGCGGGGAGGGGAGCGGTGTGGACGGGAGCCTGGCGCTGCGGGGAGGGGAGCGGTGTGGACGGGAGCCTGGCGCTGCGGGGAGGGCCCGGTGTGGACGGGAGCCTGGCGCTGCGGGGAGGGCCCGGTGTGGACGGGAGCCTGGCGCTGCGGGGAGGGCCCGGTGTGGACGGGAGCCTGGCGCTGCGGGGAGGGCCCGGTGTGGACGGGAGCCTGGCGCTGCGGGGAGGGCCCGGTGTGGACGGGAGCCTGGCGCTGCGGGGAGGGGGGGGTGTGGACGGGAGCCTGGCGCTGCGGGGAGGGTCCGGTGTGGACGGGAGCCTGGCGCTGCGGGGAGGGGGGCGGTGTGGACGGGAGCCTGGCGCTGCGGGGAGGGGGGCGGTGTGGACGGGAGCCTGGCGCTGCGGGGAGGGGGGCGGTGTGGACGGGAGCCTGGCGCTGCGGGGAGGGGGGCGGTGTGGACGGGAGCCTGGCGCTGCGGGGAGGGGGGCGGTGTGGACGGGAGCCTGGCGCTGCGGGCCGACACCCACGGCGCAGCTACTGGTTGGCGGCGCAGCTACTGGTTGGCGGGAGGAGGGGAGCAGACCGGAGAGCTCCCCAGTTACCGGCCTCACGTTGGCTTTGCAGCCTGCCCCCATCCGGTCCACACCCTTGGACCCAGATTGTCCCCGGCTCTCGGTTATTTAAACTTGTAGCTAATGTCTGTACCCTCCACGGGACCAAATAGCAGCTAGAATATTGTCTTCCACGGCACGCATTTTTCCTGCCCTTTGCCATGTGTCTTTGGGCATCAGGTGCCCATCCTGACAGGTGGGACTCTTGGGAGCTTGGGGATGGGGTCTAAAATTCCAGTTTCAGTTATGTAATCTTAATATGTATTCATTCATGGACCTGACACTTTAAAGATAGTTATGAATAAAAGGATAGACCGAGAAAGTTGCCTAGATCAAACTACTTGAAAGTCACAACTTATATGTATTTTTTCTTGCTTTATCAACTCTAAACTGAGTAAAAGGATTTGATGATGATGGTGGTGGTGGGTGGGTGTGTGGCAGAACTGAAGCTTGGCTTTATTTTTCTTGGTTATAGGGCTTGAACTCAGGGCCTGGGCACTGTCCCTGAGCTTTCTAGCTCAAAGACCAGCACTCTACCACTTTGAGCCACTTCACCACTTCCAGTTTCTGGTGGTTTATTGGAGATAAAGAGTGACACTTTTCTGCCTAGTCTGGCTTTGACCTCAACCCTCAGATCTCAGCCTCACAAGTATCTAGGATCACAAGGTGAGCCACTGGTGCCCAGTAAAGGTTTACTTCTTGCATGGATATGTTTAACACCAAGTTAGTGTTAAAAGTACTTAAATCTATTTCTGCAGTAGTAGATTGCTTACTCATTAAAAACTTTTATTTTTGTCTAATAAATAGTGGAGCTGGGCACTGGGGGATCTTGCCCACCATCCCAGTTACTCAGGAGGCTGAGATCTGAGGATCATGGTTCAAAATCAGCCCAGGCAAGAAAGTCTGTGACACTTATCTCCAGTGAACTACCCCCCCCCCCCCCAAAAAAAAGCCAGAAGTGAAGATGTGGCTCAAGTGGTAGAATGCTAACCATGAGCAAAGAAGTTTGAGGATAGCGCCCAGGAACCGAGTTCAGGCCCCAGGACTGGCACCAAAGAAACAGTGTTCCTTGGAGAACTGGAACCCTCACACAGTCACACAGGTAGGCCTGGAGCCCTCAGCCTCCATCAGTTTGTCAGCCTAGACTGGCCGACACACATCAGATGACTAGCGTATGTTCAGGCCCTGCCCTGAACAGTTCTGAATGGAGAAGAGAGGTACTGGGAACACTAGTCACACTGTCCCGTCTTCTATGCACTCAGCTTCAGAGCCCAGGGCCTGCTCCTGCCAGGACCCTCTGCTGGGTGGATCTCCAGTCTGACCCAAGTTGAACTACACAGTTGTGACAAGTAATACACACATGGAATAATAAGTTCCTGCGTCTCAGACCCAGCATGGTGGCACAGCTCATTCAGGCCCTATCTGGTTATTGTTAACAAAAAAGCATTCAAGGGGATATCCTGGCTCTTCAGGCTAACCGGTTCTACAGATCCTATACATCTACTGTTCAGATGAGCCTATGCCAGGTCACTGGGAAAGAAAGCTACGTGTACAAGATAACACTCCTCATACCTTTCTGAGCTCTCAAGTGAAGCCCTTTAATAGTACAAAGTAATTGAACACGAACACCAGAATGTTTTTCCAGGATCACAATTATGAATTCCAAGTCTATTTTATACACTTAAAAAATATAGCATCACCAGCTTTTATTCCAGCCCTTAAAAAACTTGCACGTGGGTGTTTTGATGGTGAATTGGGCCCCATGCTTGAGAGTTACTTTCTTTGGATGGGAGGGGCCTAAAATCCACGTGATTGTCCACTCTGAGTAGAGAACAAGGGGAGCCTTGGGTTCAGCCAACAGGCGGAGAGGGTTCCTCAGGCCCCAGGCTGTGCTGACCGCCAGAGGGCGCCCTGGGCAGCCCTGCATCACGAGGCCCTTGGCTAGGGCTCCTGCATCCCACCTCCAGACTTGGGGTGCATAGGTGGTGAGGCTCTAATAGATGAAGAAGATACATTGCATACTAACAACACAGTATTCTAATACTTCTTCCTCCCTGAAAGTCCGAGGGACAGAGTTACTAGGCAGCTTCAGAGATACCCTACCCTCCTCTGCCCACCATGTTTGCCATGTTCTAAGTGCACAGCCTGCTATAGTGCTAGTACAAGCCTTAGCCCAGAGTTATCAATCCCAGTTTGGTGCCACTGCTCTGAGCAGTGGTTCTAGCTTAGAGCCAGGAACCTTCTGGGAGAAGACACGCCCTATTCCCACCCCTGCCCCAAAGCATCAACTCAGTGTCTGGGGCCTTTGGCTGTCTAACTAAGGCTCACAGCTATACTGAATCCTGGGTTCTCTGCACAGAATCTCCTTGCCAGCCACAGGCTCTGGCACTCAAGTCCAGGAGGGCATCCTGGGCACCTCCAACCCCGGGAAAAAGGAGGCAGACAGGGGGGAAGCTGTGAACTGCCTCACCTGGCTTGCTGATCCGACACACCTCTTCCCACGTGTAGTCAGCCAGGTTCACAGGCTGTGTCAACCACGGGTCTTGCACCAGCTTCTCCAGAGTGGTGCGCTTCTCAGGGGCAGGCTGCAACAGCCCAGACACGAGGTTCATGAGCTCTGAGGACACAGAGAACAGAGGTGGATCCAGGCTGGGGCAACAGGGGGCAAACCTCAGAACTTCAGACCCTGATCCCCACCACTACTGTCTCTGACAGAGTCGGAGGCCACAAGAGCCTCAGGCCAGGGCCTGTGGGAGGGTCCATTGCTTTGGAATGAATGCCTGCAGATGGAGATCCATCCTAACCGAAGTCAAACGGCCTGGAGCTCCCAAACCGGTCTTCCCAGTGAGCAGAGCAGCGAGCACTGGAGGATATGTCAGACGGGAGGGGAGGGGAGAGCTGTCAGGAGCATCTCTCCCTCAGCCAGGGGAGTGGAACGGGGAACACCTACCTCCCTGAACCACAGCACCTCAGCAATCTGGAGCTTACCCCAGCTCTGAGGCCCTCCCACCAGCTGACACACCTGCGTTATGCCCTGCCCCCTGGTGCATGTGCTGAAGCCATGGCCCCACAGGGGGAAAAGGGAGCCTTGGTCGTTGGGACTCAAGGAAAAGGTGCTGTCTACAAGCCAGGAAGGGCTGTCTCCAAGAACCGGACCTGCGCAGACCAGCAGGAGAGCACCGCCATGAGACTGCGATGGCAACTAAGCTGACCACAGCCGGAGCAGCACGGCCAAGGCCAACCCCGCCTCAGGAGGGCTGGCTGCCACTCTCACGGCTTCTAGCATGACTGCAGTGGAAGGACCAGATATCACTGAAGGCCCAGCTCCCAGCCAGCTGCTCCCCACAGCGTGGGCCCCTCCTAAGTACCCGCCACAGACTTTGGAAGCCTTTCTGGCCACTGAGCTCACATCCACCTCACTGTGCTGGTCCTCACTCCAGATCAAACCACAGCCAGGCCCATCTTTACACACTGCTCATGGGGCTATGTGTGACGGAGGCCCACAGGCTCCACATGAGATGCTGGGGTCAAGACCTCCACACACACACACACACCACTGCTCACCATGGGGTTCCAGACCACAGGCACCACCACCAGGTCCAGACAAGGTCACTTACCACTTCTGCCATGTCCACGATAAAAACTAAACTATCAACATGTTCTCAACCAGGCCTAGTGACTCATATCTACAATGCAAGTTACTCAGCATGCTGAGTTCAGCAGGACCATTTTTTGTTTTGGATAATCCTGGGGCTCAAACTCACTGTCCTTGAGCTTCTTTAGTTCAAGGCTAGCTAGTGTGCTACCACCTGAGCCACTGGAGCTAAGAGTC